TTATAAATTAAAGTAGCAGTTTACTTTCGATATTTTTTCAGCAACATCAGCTTATTCACAGTATTTTTTCTTGTAGCCTACTTGTAATTTTTCCTCCTTATATGCGCTGTTCTGGTGTAGTTCGACTTTCATCTTCTCTAAATTCGATGATTTCCGCCGTTTCAATTATAACTTCTTATTTTGATGATATGAAACCGTGCTTTGCTATTTGTTTATGCTTCTGACACAATATAGTGCTATAAATTAAGACACTTGGCGGATTTTCTCATCTTTATTTAGTTGATACGTGTGGAAAAAATTACACGTTTCGAGCTCTTAAGCCCCTCTTCAGTCAACTATCCATACAAGTCTTATAAATTAAAGTAGCAGTTTACTTTCGATATTTTTTCAGCAACATCAGCTTATTCACAGTATTTTTTCTTGTAGCCTACTTGAGTACGGCTGTTATTAAGGTTGTACTGTACAAAATTGATTATACCTTTTTACTTATAAAACAGTCTTACAAAATCCTTGATCTAAAATATACCTTAGACAACAATTATCAAATTGGTATACAATTGATTATGCTTTTTACTCATAAATCTGTTTTACTAAATCCTTATCTCCTTTGATACGCATTGACAATATATTGACATTATATTGTCAATGCGTATCAAAGGAAATTGGAACTTGCCTTGGGCCGCATGCGGCCCGCGGGTTGGACACCCCTGTACTAAATGATTTTTCCTAAATGTCCTGGTCTAAAATGGGAATGCGTCTTATATGCCGTACAATACGGTAATTCACACTTTCTATAAATTGCTACTTTTTAAATACCTGACAACCCCAAACAGAGATTCGTCCGGAAGAACTTTTACAGAAGTAATTTTCGAAGAGTCATAAAATTTTTCAATCATTTTGGTATTAGGAAATCCAAATTTTGGTTTCCAGATATTTTTCGTTAATTTATTAGGAAACATCACCGGATATTGGGAAACTAATGTGTTTAAATTTAATCTCGGATCCTTCCATACTGCAATTATTACCAAAATCAGACGGAAATCCTGAAAAAGTTATAAATATTTTAAGTATTTATCTAACCACCGAAATGGGGTTTGTGGATTAATAAACAAAAATTGTTCTCTTTCTAATCCTACGGTTCACCAGAGTTCAAATTACTTCTGAGTAATTCTCGAACTCTGGAGAACAGTCGGATTAGAAAGACAACAATGTTTGTTTATTAGTCCACAAATCCCTTTTCGGTGGTTAGATAAATAATTCATTTAGCCCACTAATATTTCTGAATTTACTAGATTAATAAATACAGTATATTAATTACTTTAAGCAACATTTTCTATCATTAGAGAGGTACTTGTTTCTACTAAATGATATTGTTTCTATTGAAAACACGAAAATGCTTTCCGTATTGGTCTGGTTTTTCGATATCACTTGCAAATAAAAGTGAGAAATTAAATATTTAATTTGAAAATAGAACATGACTACAGCATAAGAAGACTTGATACTCCAAAACTGCATATACACAATAAGTGTTTTTCTAGTCTTCTATCCGCGTTCATATGGAGACACTAGCCTTGCTGACTCTTTCTCCGAAATATGTCGCCTGGTGGTTAAATGAAACGGCCTGTACTTTTGTTTCGAGAATATGGACGCATGGGTCTGATTAGCCGGCCTTATAATGGAATGGCTATACGCGCGCGGGGAAATAAAGCCTTCCGAAAGGTCTTTTAAGGGAAACTGACCCCTATTTAAGCGTTACAGATGTAGAGAAAACCCGAAAACTCCACGTGGTCAGCCATGGAGTTTTCGGGCGTCCGATCGAGGTGAGAACCCACGACCGAACTCCCAATGTTCAGGGAAGAAGACCGCTTGGCTACTGGTTGACGTCGTTAACGAATATAAACTGGTTTATAGAATAAACTATTTCTCAAGTCATAATAAATTAATAGAATGTTGACATCAGGAATATCATAAAGTTAAAACTGTAAAAATCGAAGTTGTATTGTTGCCACGTCGTTACAATGACAGGCCTCAATTTTTAATCATTTTAATTTAAAAAATTACGTGACTTCCGGTCCAGAGTTAATTTGGGTTTCTGGTCCCTAAACTTTCTATATCTGGTGTGGATTTTAGTAGTATTATTCTCCTGTACATCATATTCTCCTGATAAAAATCGACATCTATTTAACTCCGTCCTCGAGATTAACGAAGGACAAACAGCGAACAATGGGATGTATAGGTTTGCAATCTGAATATTGCATCACGTTAAATTAATATGAAACAAGGTAATTTTATCCATGGTTGAAAATGGAAATGTGTGAAATACATGTTTTAAAATAGTTTATACTTTTATAAAATTATACAAAAATCAGAACAGCTATGCCATGAGATTAAGTACAGGAAAAAATTGTTAATTTCACTTATGATGATCAATTATTATCAGTACACTTGTATATTTTACTCATGACTAAAATGACTAAAATTTTATCCATGTAGCACTGTTCTCGAAATTAAGGAAAGACGGACAGACGAACGACGGTGGGAATTTATAGTTCTACAGTTTTTTGAAAAAACTTTTTTCAAGTTGCAGCCTAATGATATAAAACTTCACCATTTATTAACGATTTTATATAATTTTACAAGGTAATTATGAAGTCTCCATCCATTTTTTTTTATTAGAAAAAGGTGAAAAAATCATTTGTATGCTGGTTATGTGAAACATACCGATCCAAGTAGACAGAATTGCTGTTGTTTGCACATGTTTTAGTGGATTAACGAACACGAAATACAAACTTCACCCAGAAAACCAGAAAGTCTGCTCCTATCAAGGGCCAACATCAGACTGTTGGTCTTTAATTAAATTCAGACGTTCAGATAAATTACACGACGCACAACATACCGGGAAACTTACCATACCGGACAAAACGGTGCAAGGTGCAGAAACTGCAACGTGCGAGGGGAGGAACAACACTGCCACCTGCCAAGCAATGTGCCACGATCTCTCGAAGGCTATGGAACAGGAAGATTTGATGGTACTTACCTGTTTGTTAATCTACTCAAACATGCGCAAACTATAGTGATTCTATGTTCTTAAATCGGCATGTTTCACACGACTTGAAACACATGATTTTGTTACATTTTCACAAAAATGTAACGAGACTTTATAATCACCATTTATTTTAATTAATAACCTTTTGACTTACCATAGTCGCTTCGTTTATTTTATCAATTCCCAGTATTTGTAATGAAACGTAAACAGATGTCGGTAAATCTGTAGGAAAAAATGGTTTAATTCTAAATAATGTAATGCATTAATTCTTAAGTCTACGCTCAGAAGGATCTGGGATCGAATCCGGACAGGATTTTTATAAGGGATAATCCATCTGCGATTTGTCGTTCCTTATCTCTTTCCATGCATAAAGTAGGAAAGGTTTTTGGTGAAGGGAGAACGCAGGGATAAAATTACGTATATATTCTAATATTGAATAATAATTATCTTTATTTTTTATAAAATAAATTTTTTTATAGCGTTGATAATAAATGTCTTTATATGTGATTTGTTACGTTATAAATTTATTTCTTCTATTAAAATTCTTATAAAGACAAGTAATGTCTCTGGGTAATGTATACATTTTTTAAAAGAATTTAATTTAAAATAAAATTGTTTAAAAGTTTTTAAATTTCATAAATATATTAATAAATTTTAAATGTTTCATTTAATAAAATCAATAAAAATTATCTTAAATGTACAAAAATCGGTTTAGATTAATATAGAGCCTAAATAGAATTTACAATAATAATATGAAGTATCCTTAAATTTATTAAGTATATTAATTCAATTATAATTTACAATTAATAGTGAAGTTAATTATTATTAATTTATTTTAATTATATATATATAGACTATTTTTAAATTAATTTCTAA